TTTTTAATCAGTTATTTTATTGTTTTACCTCCTAAGTTTGATTCTTCAGGTTAAGGGTAGTTTTTTTATTTAAAAAAATTCAGAGGGTGATGGATCAATGCTAGCTTTATTTTTTTGAGTTAGTAGAGCAAAACTACATACATGTAAGGTTCTGTTTTTAAAAAAAGCCGGTAATTTAATATTTTTTTACTTCTTAAATTTGAAGTTTTCTATTTAAGGGTGGTTTTTTCGATTTAAAAAAAATTTAGAGGGTGAGGGAGCATTTCTGGCTTTGTTTCTGCCTTGCTGGAGTAAAAATATCCGCTTATAAAATTTGTCAATCAGTTATTTTGTTGTTTTATCTCCTGAATTTGATTCTTCAGATTAGGGGTAGTTTTTTCGATTAAAAAAATTCAGGGGGTGATGGGTCAATGCTGGCTTTATTTTTTTTAATTAGTAGAGCAAAACTACAAACATGTAAGGATCTGTTTTTAAAAAAAGCCGGTAATTTAATATTTTTTTACTTCTTAAATTTGAATTTTTCTATTTAAGGGTGGTTTTTTCGATTTAAAAAAATTTTAAAGGGTGAGGGAGCATTTCTGGCTTTGTTTCTGCATTGCTGGAGTAAAAATATCTGGTTATAAAATTTTTTAATCAGTTATTTTATTGTTTTACCTCCTGAATTTGATTCTTCAGATTAGGGGTAGTTTTTTCGATTAAAAAAAATCAGGGGGTGCTGGATCAATGATGGCTTTATTTTTTTGAGTTAGTAGAGCAAAACTACATACATGTAAGGTTCTGTTTTTAAAAAAAGCCGGTAATTTAATATTTTTTTACTTCTTAAATTTGAAGTTTTCTATTTAAGGGTGGTTTTTTCGATTTAAAAAAAATTTTAGAGGGTGAGGGAGCATTTCTGGCTTTGTTTCTGCCTTGCTGGAGTAAAAATACCTGGTTATAAAATTTTTTAATTAGTTATTTTATTGTTTTACCACCTGAATTTGATTCTTCAGATTAGGGGTAGTTTTTTCATTAAAAAAAATTCAGGGGGTGCTGGATCAATGCTGGCTTTGTTTTTGAGTTAGTGGAGCAAAGTTTCGTAGATATAAAATTTGGTTTTTTTAAAAAATAAGTTGATTTATTTTTTATCTCTGAAGTGTGAATTTGTCCGTTTCAGGGTGGTTTTGGTCGATTTAAAAAAAAACTGAGGGTGATGGAGCAATTCTGAGCTCAGATTCGGTTTCAGCGGGCCAAAATACTATAGGAAATATATGTGTAGTTCAAGAAACAGACAACTTTTTTTTTTTTGTGTGCCTGTGTAATTCGACAAATATAGAGAGTCGATAATGAAGTGTCACTCATTATCATAATCTTCTCTCCTTTACCCATAAAATGTCAATTACAGCAGTATCCCCCACAGCTCCGAAAATTTCCTGAAAATTTCCTAAAGATTTATTTGCAAACTTCGGAAACTTTAATTGCAAAGTTTAGAGAAAATTGTATAAAGATTTAAATGTCCAAAATGAATAAATGTTTGGCGTAAAACTTGACGGAAGATTTAAATTAAATTTTCCAGAAATTTTCGACGCGAAAATAGAGTGAAGATTTAAATTAAAGTTTCGTGAAATGTTTGGCGTAAAAGTTGACTAAAAATTTAAATTAAATATTTATTAAAAATTTATACCGAAAGTTGAGTGAAAATGTAATTTAAATATTCAGTCAATTTTTGTGACGAACATTTCCTAAAAATTTAAATTAAATTTTCAGAAAAGGTTGGACGAAAATGTTTGTAAAAAATACAAAAATAATATTTAAGAAGTATTAATATTATTATTAATATTAATAATAATAATAATACATAGATAGATAGATCTTTATTATTATTATTATTATTATTATTATTATTATTATTATTATTATTATCAATAAGAAATATTTACTATCTGGGATTAAAAATAAAATAAATAATATACAAACATTGTTTCTCTGCTTTGATTCACATTGAATCAAGCACTGCATGCTTGTTGAGCAAGAACTTTTGAAAACAAATTATGGGGTGCTGGGGATTGAACCTACATTCGCCGCGCGCTAGCTAAAGACCCTAACCACTACACTACAGATATCTGGCTGAAAAAAAAAAATCTTCCACATACTCTACAACTTTATATTATCGACTTTTGAGTCGATAAGTAGGATCACTTGTCTATCAGTAAGTTGTAGAGTGTGTGGAAGATTTTTTTTTTTCAGCCAGATATCTGTAGTGTAGTGGTTAGGGTCTTTAGCTAGCGCGCGGCGAATGTAGGTTCAATAATAATAATAATAAAGATCTATATATCTATGTATTATTATTATTAATATTAATAATAATATTAATACTTCCTAAATATTATTTTTGTATTTTTTACAAATATTTTCGTCCAACCTTTTCTGAAAATTTAATTTAAATTTTTAGGAAATGTTCGTCACAAAAATTGACTGAATATTTAAATTACATTTTCACTCAACTTTCGGTATAAATTTTTAATAAATATTTAATTTAAATTTTTAGTCAACTTTTACGCCAAACATTTCACGAAACTTTAATTTAAATCTTCACTCTATTTTCGCGTCGAAAATTTCTGGAAAATTTAATTTAAATCTTCCGTCAAGTTTTACGCCAAACATTTATTCATTTTGGACATTTAAATCTTTATACAATTTTCTCTAAACTTTGCAATTAAAGTTTCCGAAGTTTGCAAATAAATCTTTAGGAAATTTTCAGGAAATTTTCGGTGCTGTGGGGGATACTGTCAGTTAAAAAGTGATTTTTCGGAAAACTCATTCCTTTTCCTCGATCGAGGTATTTTTATACTTTCTTTTTCTGTATATATCAAGAATTATGCATTTTCTACCGTTTTTTCAATGTTTCAATAGTTTTTCATATTATTTTAGCAGCTTTTTAGACACGAGAAATATTGCGGATGATTGGGCATAATGCATTGGACAATTGAACAAACACTCCAATTGTCCGAATGCATTTTAGACAATTGAGCAAACGGCTTGCTAAATTGTCCGAACTGCTATCTCAAAAAATCCTTTTTTACTGGGATACCGAATGACAAACCAATTTTAAATAAAAGTATTCTAAAAAGAAAACAAAAATTGTTTCAAAAATGGTGAGTTAACTAAGTATTTCAAAATGTTTTATTTTTCTTGTGCGGTATTAAAGCTTGAAAAAAAGGAAAATTTTGATCTTTAAACCAATTCATTTGGTGGTACAGAAAAAGTGATTTTTTTATTATTTATTGTTGTATCTTTTAAATAAACAATTGTTTTTACTTTAAAAATAATTAGTTTGGACCTTCATATTAATATTATAAAAAAATGTTTCATTTAATTTAGTGAGGTTACTCCGAAAAGTGATAAAAAAAACTCATAAAATGACACATTTATAAAGAAAAATCAAGAAAAATGCAAAAAAAATCTAAAAGTTCATAGCAAGTACTTTATGTTTCGTTAATTTTTATTTAATGTAAAGATTCTAATTTATTCTAATTTATCTATAAAAAGTCGACAAAAGTAGGTTTATAACAGTTTTCAGCATCTCATGTACCTACTTTAAATTTATTTTACAATATCAAAAATTTTCATAAAATTCTTTTCATTTCTTAAACTTGACAACTTTCAAATAATTCCTGCAAAGTGTTATAATAGATCACTTTTTCTAAAAAATATTTTCTAATCGTTTTGTTCTAAAAAAAGCCTTTTCTACTGAAATTATTTTTCTAAAAAAATTTCTTTAACAATTTTTGATTTCTAAAAAATATTTTTTAACAAATTTAGATTTCTAAAATACATTATTTTAATAGTATATTTCCAATATGATCTTCCTTTTGCTTGTCTTTAAAAATAATATAAAAGTCCATTTACATGCACAAAATTTCGTTTGTGACTTTTTATAAATTCCACAACCATTTTTTTCTTTATATTTATTACAATTTAAAATTTTACGATATACATATGTTCGATTTTCACAAGATAATTTTAAACTGATTTTGATTTGGATACACACACAATTGATAAGACTTTTCCGAAGTTGCTTACGATTGACAAAAAACGATTTCAAATAATTTCAAATTGAACTTCCTTAAAAATTTAAATTTATTGGTAGGAATTTAAATTTATTAGATAACAAAATTTTAGAAATTGAACTTGATTAGGAAAAAAATTTTGGAATTTGAACATTATGGGAAAAAAAAAGTTTAGAAAAATACAAACTTGAAAATATTTTTTAGAAAAAGTGTATCTCAATCTTTTCCAATTTTTTAAAGATTTTCAAGATTAAATTAAATTTTGTAAAAACTTTTATCACCAGCATGTAGTCCGTAAAAAGATCTTTAAAACTCATTATATTTAAAAATATCGTAAACTGAAAAAAAATAAATTCTCATAAAAATTAAAAAAATATTTTATCAAATTCAATAATATTTGGTATTTAGACATTTATATATATATATATATATATATATATATATATATATATATATATATATATATATATATATATGTTTTGTTCAGAGTAGGTGAATAAATGTCATTTTAAGATTTAAACAGACATTAAGACAACTGGAAGGGTGTCTCCAATTTGACCTCAAATTATCGATAACTGACCTCAGAAAACGATTGAATTATTGCACATTTAATTAAATCAACAATTAAGTACAATTAAAAAAATGCGTAGTATGTACAATACGTTTGGCAATATTCTTTAATGTATAAAAAAAATTAACAACTCATATCGAAATATAACACGTAGTCATTAATACTTGTATATTAATTAGTCAATGAATTTATTTATTATAATTATACCTTCAAGTGATTTAAATTAAGATAATGGTTTTTCACACTGAATTAAAAAATTTAAGTAACACACGATCATTTACACTTTGACATTTTCTTTTTGTTTTTATATCAACATATCGCTTTTTATTTTCCTACAAAAACTTCTTTCACTAGAATAAAGTAGTTAAAAAAGTCATTCTTACCAAGTAATTTATCAAAACTTGATGTGGGTCGGAACATTTTATTTGTTTTTAACAATGAAAACTTTAATTTCTGCAAACAAAGTAATTTTGATTTTCTTTTAACCTACTAATTATTGAAAAAGCAGTTTCATCACATGACACTTGCTCCACAATTTAATATTTATTATTGCTAATATAATTTAAGCAAAGAGGTAAAAATTAGCAGATAAGTAACCTGTATTACACTAATCCAAATTGGTATGTGTGCGATCACGGTCTTTTGCAAGATCTGAAAACCTTAAAACGTCTTAAATGTTACAAATTCACTGAACATAAGGGCTCTGTAACACGAATCAGATTAGCAAAATAGATTTTAACCAATCACAATTTAGTCTCTTGCGGCAAAGTAGTATGTGCCGTAAGATACTTCTTTTTGATTGGTTAAAATTTATTCTGCTAATCTGATTCATGTGCCAGATTATTGGGATCAGAAATCACGCGAAACTGATTCACCCCTGAGCCTTCTTGTGACAACCATCTTGGTTTTTTATCTCTTTCTTTTGTATAAGGTTATTCAAGTTGGGTGGGGAAAGCCAAGATGGATGATGGCTGGTGCACAAACAGCCTATCAGCATTCATTCCCACGAGAAATTTCTTGGTTTTTTATCTCTTTCTTTTGTATAAGGTTATTCAAGTTGGGTGGGGGAAAGCCAAGATGGATGATGGCTGGTGCACAAACAGCCTATCAGCATTCATTCCCACGAGAAATTTCTCGTGGGAATGAATGCTGATAGGCTGTTTGTGCACCAGCCATCATCCATCTTGGCTTTCCCCCACCCAACTTGAATAACCTTATATGTTAGAGAAACACGGAATGAAAACATGGCCACCACAACAAGGCTCTCACCAGATGGCGTATCGCAGTATTTCAGATCCCAATTTTGTTCATTGAATTTATAACACGTTATCAAAAATGCGCTAGGACGTTTCCGAATTGAGGTTTTTAGTACGGAAGCTTCTACGCGCCACCTCGCAACGAGGCGAAACCTACTTATGCTCGTTTCATATTTACCATACAGAACATCGAAGTTTCAATGTTCTTGTCGTAAAGAACACACAAGTTGGTTTGATAAATCCATTCATTTTTAAATTATAAGATGAAATTTGTTGTATTTAAATGATCTATATTTATAATAATTGCAATGAATTTTTTAATATTATTATAACAATAATTAATATTAAAAATATTAAAGTAAATGTATAAAAATAAATTTATATACAGGGTGTTCAAAAAGTTGCAAGTTTCCATACTTTTTAAACATCCTGTATATATTTAAACATAACCTTATATAAAAATGAATCTATATATTATATTATTTTATATTATATAAAAACACAAGAATCTAACTCACTTTAAAACAACGATATTCTCTATATTTAAAATCAAAAAAGTTAATCGAATTATTCAACGTAAGAAATTTTTCATCTTATAATGATTTTGTAATGAGAAATATCGAACCACCGAGCAATCGAACCAACTTGTGTGTTCTTTACGACATGAACATTGAAACATCGATGTTCTGTATGCTAAATATGAAACGAGCATAAGTTGGTTTCGCCTTGTTAAGGCCTTTCTCCAATAGGATCCTAAACTCTTGCGTTGCGTATGCATTGCGTCGGTTGCTATTGGCAACCAATGCTAAAATCAACGCGTCAGTCACGCAACGCAAAAGTTTAGGTTCCTATTGGAGAAAGGCCTTGTGGTACGAAACACCGCCACTTGCGTCCGAGACGCTCGTGAGCCGTACAGGCTTCCGTACTCTCCTTCTCTTGCTAAACTGCGCAGGCGTAGTACAATACGTTCCAAAAGTTTACTGTTAACTGTGTTATGTCATGTTCACGTATACATACTGATAAATATTTTCTAATGGACCTGTACCGACAAAGAGGGGAATACAAGAATCAGCCCTCTCTCTCGGTTCGTGACTTTCATGGAGCGGTCACACCTCGGCTGCAGGAGCAGTTGCCCATCGCAACCGTGTAAGAGTAAGAGAGATAGAAAATTTTCCATCTCTCTTACTCTTACACGGTTGCCATTGGCAACTGGAGCATGCTCCTGCAGGCGAGGTGTGACCGCTCCATCAATGGCAGACAGCATTCCAGATATATAGAGTTCAGTGATAATTTTACATTTGATGTCATTTCTTTTTTTAAAACACGGTAATAACAATAAAATAATTATACTGGGTTTGCAATCAAAACAAATAAGCATCGTCAAAGCTTCCGTAGATACGGATACGGAGCACGCTACGAAGCACACTACGAGGCACGCACGAGTGGGTTGATAGACCTTTTCATGCTGATCATTTTGTCCTCTTCCAACTCATGCGTCATTGTATGCGCTAGATAAGGACAGAACGATCAGCATGAAAAGATCTATTCAATCGTGCCTCAATATGTGTTTCGTAACGCTAAAGAGTGCTTAGTGGTGGCGCATAGAAGCTTCTGTAGGATGTCATCATAGCATTGATACCAATCGCGAACAAAAAGTTTGGTTATGTTCCTCTTATCCCTGTTTTCCAACTTTACAATTTTAATGCAAATGTTTCTCGACGGCTTTTAATAATTTTAATTATTTAATATTTATAATTAAAAAAATCAGTCTCTTAAAATCATAAACCAAACTTTCTGTTCGCGATTGGTATCAATTCTTTGATGACGTCACTACGGTTGCGAACCAACGCTCAGTCACGTAACGCAAACATTTAGGAACATATTGGAGAAAGGCCCTAATGATACAAGTCAAAATGGTTGCAGTCGTTGTCTGCGCAGAACAATCCTGTTTTGGTCCTCTTTATGGCTAAACCTTGTTGATTGGATTATGTTAACCTAAAGTGTTCGGGAATAAGGAGTTGAAAAAACACGTGGTTGACATGCAGCAAGTGTGTTTGTGTAGAGGTTAAAAACAAATCTTATTTTATTGAAAATATTATTAAATTATTTTAAATTTAGTGAAAAAAGTGAAAGGATTTTCTTAAATGTTTTTTTATGGTTGTCAACATTTTAATGTTTCTTACTGATTATGTACAAAGTTAAATAAATAATCATGTCGCTTCTTTGTTATTTATCAAGTTTCTGTAGTGAGAACAACAGTTGTGAAAGTATATTTAACGAATTTTTAAAACTGAAGGTATTTAGAATTATTTTTTAAACATTTCTTTTATAATACATTACGAGAAAACAAAAGTATAACATGATATAAAATTCCTAAAATGTCCGAGTCAAAAATTAAACGCTATGTCTATTTAGCCCGCTAACGGGAGGAATAGTGGAGATAGATTATTTAGCCCGCCAGCGGGAGGAATAGTGGTGATAGATTATTTAGCCCGCCAGCGGGAGGAATAGTGGTGATAGATTATTTAGCCCGCTAGCGGGAGAAATGCAAGATTTTGGCTATTTAGCCCGCTAACGGGAGGAATAGTGGAGATAGATTATTTAGCCCGCCAGCGGGAGGAATAGTGGTGATAGATTATTTAGCCCGCCAGCGGGAGGAATAGTGGTGATAGATTATTTAGCCCGCTAGCGGGAGAAATGCAAGATTTTGGCTATTTAGCCCGCTTATTTTTAAAAAATCATCAAAATGAGAACTATTTAGTTTGCAGTAAGTATTTAAAATATTTTTTATTTTTCTTATTTATTTATTCTAGAATAATAAAATATATTTTATTATATAAAATGTATATTAAGTGCAATTAAAAATAAGGCAATCGTTTATTTAAATATATTAATGTGATTTAATACAAAGTTGATTTGCTCCAAAATGAATTGTTTCGGTAGGGTTGTTTAATTTAATTAATTGTTTAATTAAAGTTGTGGTAATAAAACAATTTTTTGTTTAAACCAAATTTATTGTAAGAAAACTATTTAACTACAGGTACATTTATTTTCTAATAAATTATTAGAAAATAGTTTATGAAATTATTTTCTATTGAAACTTTAAATTTCCAAATAAAAATTAATTTTTGAAATACAATTAAAATTCTTATATTTTATAAATACGTATGGGGCATTCCACGGAAAATTTTCATTCAAAATTTTTTTTGTCCGAATCATTTTTTTTCGTAATCTATATGAAAAATAAGAAAATACGTATTTTTTTATTTGATGAAAATGAAGGATAAAAGGATAAAATTAAAGTTACCAACGTTGATTCAACGAAAAAAATAAAAGTTAAGGATTCTAATTCCCATCAAAGAAATTTATTTATTTTCAACCCTCCATAAACTATTCTCTAATAATTTATTAGAAAATAAATATACCTATAGTTAAACAGTTTTCTTACAATAAATTTGGTTTAAACAAAAAATTGTTTCTTTACCACAACTTTAATTAAACAATTAATTAAATTAAACAACCCTACCGAAACAATTCATTTTGGAGCAAATCAACTTTGTATTAAATCACATTAATATATTTAAATAAACGATTGCCTTATTTTTAATTAATATAATAAAATATATTTTATTATTCTAGAATAAATAAATAAGAAAAATATCCCTAAAATTTATATTTTCCATGGAAAATTATTTTTTTTTTTAAATTTAATATTATTTTTGGACAAAACGTTTTATAAAAATAAAAATATTGAAAATTCAAAATTTGTGTTAAATTGTGCTAGGCGAGTACTGTAAGAAAGTCTTGATAAACTTTTCGCTAAGATTTATATTTTCCAACGAAAATTAAATTTTTTTGAAATTTAATATTATTTTTGGACACTACACTATGCGCCATCACTAACAAATTGGGCAGCAACGAATGATAAAAACAGTAAAATGATTCACATATTACATAATGATACTACATGCATATATTTCAACATAAATATGACTAATTAATAAATAATTTACTTTTTAAAATAGACAAACAATAATAATTAATGAAAAACTATTGTCTGCTAACAAGCGACTGGAGCTGCTGGCTATTATTTTTTCAAAAAAAATTCTTGCTGATAAAAAAAACTTGCAAATAAACATTCAGAGAAGGTTTCCAACAAGAAAATCATAAATTCATTAAGAAATAAATTTTTTGAGTCAATTTTAGTAAAAAAAACGACTGTCTGCTGACAAGCGGCTGGGCCTTCAAAAATTTATTAATTTATCAATTATTGAATTTTTTGTTAAAAAACTTTTTAGGAAGGTTTATTCTTGCTGTGAGATTCCAGGTGAGATTTTGATTTTTTCGGAGTAGGTTAACCGATTGCAATGAAACTTTGGAATTTTGTTATATATAGTAAGACTAATCTTTAACGTAAATTGCAGCTTAAAATATTTGTTAGTTTACGAGATTTGCAATAATAACAAAAAATTTTAAACTGCTATATCTTCCGTTCTAATAATCGGTTTGAGATCTACTTTTTTTAAAATGTCAAGGAAAATGAGAGGAATAAATCTCTTTATTCCTCAATTTTATAACTAAAAAAATTATAAAAAATTGTTTTGAATCTCGTAAACTAACAAATATTTTATGCTGCAATTAACGTTAAAGATTAGTCTTACTATATATAACAAAATTCCAAAGTTTCATTACAATCGGTTAACCTACTCCGAAAAAATCAAAATCTCACCTGGAATCGCACAGCAAGAATAAACCTTCTTAAAAAGTTTTTTAACAAAAAATTCAATAATTGATAAATTAATAAATTTTTGAAGGCCCAGCCGCTTGTCAGCAGACCGTCGTTTTTTTTACTAAAATTGACTCAAAAAATTTATTTCTTAATGAATTTATGATTTTCTTGTTGGAAACCTTCTCTGAATGTTTATTTGCAAGTTTTTTTTATCAACAAGAATTTTTTTTGAAAAAATAATAGCCAGCAGCTCTAGTCGCTTGTTAGCAGACAATAGTTTTTCATTAATTATTATTGTTTGTCTATTTTAAAAAGTAAATTGTTTATGAATTAGTCATATTTATGTTGAAATGTGTGCATGTAGCATCATTATGTAATATGTGAATCATTAGAACTGTTTTTATCACTGTTAAGGTAGTATTACACTTTAGAAGCAGTAAAAAAGGGTTCAAACAAAAATTTTTTTTCGTTAATTTATTTATAGGACAGAAACCTTCTGTACAATATTAAGAACAAATAGTTCTTCAAGAAAAAATTTAAAAAAAAAATTTTTATTGGATATTTCTGGCCACCAGGGGGCACTGAAGTCAAGGTAAAAAAAATTTGGAAAAATTGTCGGACAAGCTAAAAACCTGTCAGGGGCATCGGATTTTTAAAAAAGCGTTTTAAAGCTGAGACACGTCGTTAAACTTTGTGCCTCGCCCAATAAAAAATATTTAAAAATGACAAAATTGCAGCGAATTCAAAAAATTTTACAAAATAGGTGTTTTTTTGGGCAGTTTTTGGGTCGTAGCTAAAAACCAAAAAGGAATAGATAATCGGTTTCAGGCTTAATGCCTGCAGGCTTTAATTACGAAAAAAATTGTATTTTTTTGGATAAATAGAACCCGAGTTATGCTGTCCACCAGTTTCAAAAACATCGTTTCGAGAAAATTGCGTTTAATGTTTTAACTCCCAAATGTACAAATTTTTATCAAAGTTTGACGTTGTATTTTCGCAATTCGCTGCATTTTGTTCTGTAACTTTTTTATTTCTTCGAATTTTGATTTAATATTTTGGGATTATATTTGTATGATGATTTGAAACAGGAAAATGCAAAAAAAATTGATTTTTTGATGGTGTAAAGTGTAATACTACTTTAATACGTTGCCGCCCAATTTGCTAGTGATGGCGTGTAGTTTCATTATTGACTTTCCCTCTCCTATCAAAATCACAGTTAAAAGTAAGATTCCTAAATACAATAATGTTTTGATTACTTTAAAAATCTAATAAAATACTTTAGGGACCATACTTTAATTACGTAACGCTTCATAGGGGAGGGGGAGGTCAAGCTATTTGTTACACACAGCAAAAAAATGCGCTAATGTATACAAAAATCTGTTACATGGGGGAATGGGTTCAAATTTCAAAGAAAAAGCGTTACGTAATTAAAGTATGGCCCCTTATTGGAATACTCTGGCTTCATCCGGCGAGCAAATCCTATTGGCTAAATATATACGATCATTACAAAATAAAACGAAAAAAATAGAATATAATATCTCCTAATGCAACAATAAACTCGAGTACTTGCTAATGTTACTAATTTAAATCGTATTTATGTTCTATTTTTAATTTTCTTTTCTACCTCTTGTTCATTAAATTCATTTTCTAATATTTCTATAAACTGTCTTTGCACACATAGCTGCCGTTTGTGATCCAATAATATATATGTTACTGTAAGACTTAAGAGAAACATCTGACTTGGATAATTGTTTTCAAATCCAATTTTCAATTTTTTTTTCTACCTGTAATTTGTAAAGATGATACTCTAAAAAAATTATAAGATTATGCTTTGGAAAATATAAAAATGTTAATACTAACAACTTATTTATTATATTCCAAAAAGATTTTCTTTTTATTGAAATACCTACCAGTGTGAAATTTTGTCACATGTTTGTTTCAATAAATATGATTAAATTTAAAAAAAATAACATGTAATGACGAAAGGGGGTTTATTACCAGATAAAATTATTTTATATTTAATTATTAAGTTGTGATAATAGCGGTTTCTCCAATTCAATTATTGACTAGGAGAAAGCGATATATCTCAACTTTATTATTAAAGACAATCGAATGATAAAAAGGAACAAAATTCAAAAACAATACAAATAAAAATTCTGAGCATAATACATAACATAAGAAATAAAAATTTGTAAATTATAAATGCGAATAACATAAATGCAATGAAAACTTGCAGGAAGTAAAACATGAAAACTTACTGCAAGTTTACATAGCAAAATTGCTGAAAATTTGAATTGTAATTTTACTGAAAATTGATAGGGTAAACTTGCTGAAAACTTAAATATTAAATTTACTGTAAACTGTCTGAATAAAGTTGCAGTAAACTTTTATTATAAATTTGCTAAAAATGTCAAGGCAAACTTGCTAAAATGAATTAGAAGAAAGGCCGTAGCCGGATAAGCAGGGTCCTGCGGCCCCCGCTCAAATTTCGTCGATATTTACAGGATCAATTAGTCTCAGTATGAAACTCTTTTTCGCCAAGTTTCAACTTCTAAAAATAATTTTGA